TCTTTTTAGGAAGAATAGTCATGGCCGCACCGCCGAGTACCCTCAGCAAACGCGGCGCGAGGCACGCTGGGACAGAACCCGGATGGGGGGGGGCTACTGTGGTGCGCCGCGCACGACGGGATCGGCGGGACCCGGATAAAGGGATTGAAGCACCGCGGTGTTCGAGAACCGTCGGTGGCGCGCGCGTCACGCGACAGGAGAACCCGGATGTGAAGTCCAAGGTGAAGGCAGCACGGCGAGTTCGGCGTCGCCTTCTCTCTGAGTTCGGCAAGTTGATTGCAATGCTCGTTCTGGCCTTCTGCTTCAAAGGAAACAACCAAAACAAGCACCTCTTCGCCCCGCCCCCTCGCAGGTTCTTGAACTACTGGGTGGGGCCCCGGAGCACCGCGCACGCGCGTCAGAGCACAGCCCCGCCTCTCGCTCGGAAGTACGTGGGCAAAATCTTCGCTGCGGCCACAACAATTGCGGGCATCAACCAATCGAAGCGGCTGCGTGGGTTCTCGCTGACGCCCAAGGGCCAGTCAGAGGCGGGCGATCGCCTTCCCCGTGCCCTCCGTCTCAGATTTCAGTCAAAGCCGGCAACCTTGTTCCTTGGCCTTTTCGTTGCTGCCGTCCCGTTCTTGACTTCTAGCTCCGAGGATCTGACTGCAGGCTGGTGTACTGCGACAGGATAGTGTGGTCTGCCTTATACACGACAGTTTTAAAAGCGCCTCCCTCCCAGGCTCCCTACTTGGCCGCTGTCAGTCCGACTGACAGGAAAATATCAACACTCCCAGAGCGTAGCAATCCCCTGAAGCGTCAGTTCCGGCCCCACCCACCTGCAAATCCACACCAGTGAAGTGGGCGCCACTTCACCCTGGCAATTGGCCAAGTGCTGCGGTAATTGGTTAAGAGATGCCGTCACTCGCATCAAACAGGCCAACCTTGGGACAGACAAACACCGTGGGGACAGTGGATGTTTGAGAAGCTGACACGCCCTCTTTGGCACCACCACATGTTTGCCCTCACGTTGACCTCCCTGCTCTTGTGGCTAGTGCGCAGTCGCTCACAGTTCTTTTCTCCACCCGGAACTGGGTTTATTTGGATCCAACAAAACTTTATGAGCCAGGTCTGTCACTAGCCAGCGTCTTGCAATGGGGTCGGTAAAAATCCCTGCTGCTTAGCAGCTGGAGAGAGCTACAAACTAATCCTAGTTCTGCTCCTCCTGTCTGAGTGATCTCTGGCAAGTCCTTTTGACATCCATCCCATCCTCAATTTATACTTCTCTGTAAAATGGCAATGATAATTCCAATTTAAGGATCAGAGATTAATTCATGCTTGTAAAGGGATTGGTGCTATTTCTGGCACATAGTAAGTGCTCAATAAATTAGTTGGCTTTGGAGTCAGGAAGACCTCAGTTCCAGGCACGATGAACCATTACCAACCATAGGACCTTGAGCAAGTCATTGTGTCTCAAAGTTGAGGCTATTCATGTGTAAAATGGGAATGATAATGCCTGCTAAGACTACCTCAGGGAGTAGTTATGGGGTTCCAATGAGCTCATGAACCAAGATGCTGTGAGAGGCGAGGGCTCCCTACGTCTTAGGAGCCAAGACATACAGCCCATTGACTGAAAGACCAGAAAGGTCTTCTGGGTGCCACCTAACTTTCTCCCTTCAGATGCTGATCTTGGTTGAAGTCTTCCTTGAAGGATGTCAGTAATAAATTGACTTGTGTTTTCTGTTCATTAGACTGAATGGGAGAGGACTCACATTTACTGGGCCTACTAGTGTTTAGAGCATTGTGCTCAATGCTTGTGCACATTATCCTGTTGAATCTTTCATGAGCATCTCACTCAACCCATGTACCCCAGTCCCTACTGGATATTTGTCCAGCACTACACATCTAAAACTGAACTTAAGATATTAATTGTAACTAATCATCACCAAGTACTTACTACATGCCTGGCACTGTGATGTTCCTTTTAACAGTGAGTGGCACCTCCATCCAGCTTTTGGCCACACCAGAAACCTAGGAGTCAGGCCTTGATGGCTCCCTCTTCCTCAATTCCCAGATGCTTGCTGATCCCAAGACTTGCCAATTCTACCTCTCAGATCTCTTGAATTTCCAACTCCTACTGCCACTACCTGGTCCAAACTGCCATCACCTACCGACCGGACC